TTAGGCCTGATGCTCCCTTGCCCTGTTCCTTTACCTGGTACATTTATGAAGAAGGGAACAATGGCCTAAATATTTGTCACTCTCTGCCACTATGTAGCCAAGGCTTTTCATGGCACCACCAGCTCATGTCTGCTCACAGTGACAGCTAACCTGTCCTTACTGCACTGACCTAATCCTTTCTTGCTTCCCCTGGATCCCATGCTGTCACCCATGTGGTGACAGAAACGCCCATGTCCACAGCTCTTCTGGCCACAGATGTGTCTCACAGCTGAGTGGAACAGCCGTGGTTTCGAAATGCTCTTCATTTGGAAGGACGAGAAGGAAGCGCAATGTGTCTTTAAAAAGTTTCCTGCTCGGGAGGATCTGAGAGCTGTGCAACACCCAACAGTCAAAGAAATTTGATAGATGAGTCTCTGACATTCTTGTCATGTCTTCCCTCTCTTTCTCCCCACATCCCCACTCCCAAAACGCTGTGAGGCGTGCTGTGAGGTCTGGCTTATGTAAGAGAGACTGTCAACGTTCGGACATGTAGGCCCCATGGCCTGCAGCTGGACTCAGCGAGTAGTCTCCATCAAGCCTTCATCTAAATGTCTTGCTCCTGCAGCATGCCCTCAGGTTTGGCGCTCCTTTGTTTTAAAGCCACAGTTATTAGTATCAAGAAAGCATGTGAAGAGCTTGGGAATAGTGTGTGTGTGTGTGTGCACGTGTGCCAGACAGACACAGAGAGAGAAGGGACGGAGGAGGGCGAAGGAGTTTCTCTGCCTGCTGGGACTCATGCTTCCAAGAACAGAGATGCACTATCAGGGTCTTGGCTTTGGGGAGAGAACAAGCCTGGTTTATTCCAGGCTAGCCCTGCTATCCGTGCAGGGTAAGAACCTGTGCTGCAGGCAGCATGAGGGACACTGTACGAGGATGACGTTTTGTGCTGCTGCGCACGAGGATCGCAGTCCTGAACAAGGATTTTGGTTTGGTGCTGCAAGGCTTTAAAGCATCAGCCAAACAGAGGGCGATGAAGACTGCACAGAAGGGTGTTTGAACTCCACTGCGGAATGCACGTTGCATCTGTAGATTGTTTGATAGAGAAAATCCCCAGCGTTGGCTTGGAGTTCCTAAGACAGCAGTGAATATGAAATCCTTTTTCTCCACTAGGTGCTACACAGGAATGACCTGGGGACACATTAGACAGTGATAAGTGACTCTTTCCATCCCCTTTTATCCTGTTTACAATACAGCAGCTTTCCTTGAACAAAACCCTTTTTTACTCTCCATGCTCCTGGCTGTTGTGTCTAAACGAGCCAATTTGCTGAAGGACTCCTCCTGGAAGGACTTGAAGTCTAACAAGAACAGACATTTGGCTGTGGTGTGTTTTTCTTTTTTTTTTTTTTTTTTCTCCTGCAAAAATCAATTTCTTCACAAAATAACAAAAGATTGCTCCTGTATTTCAGTGCTTGCCACTTCATCAAAGCTTTCATGATACTTCCCACATAGCCCTGGCTAGGAGGGGAATCCCAGCACATATTTTCATTCAAACTCTCCTATCTACAAAAATGCTTGAAATGGGTTTAATGACCCAGATAAGGGAGAGCAAAGAAAAAGAATGCATGTATTACTGCTGCAGCTATTTTTTTTCCATTGTTCCTTTTTTTTTTAATTCTTAGACTGATGTGATTTCTGTGGCCTGAGTTACTATTTGAAACCCAAGCAATGTTTTTTTGCCACTCACCTGGGTTGTGGCATGGCAGGATGGGACGAACAAAGTTTCATGCAGTATCTGATGCGACGTGGATCCATACGAACATTAATTAAAGATCTGTATTATTTTCACTTTTTTATATCTATCTGTACTTCAAGTCAACAAATTGTCCTCACATCACTACAATACATTCTTCAGATGCGCACCTTTATCTGTAAATGAGCAACATCAGAAGAAATCACTGCTGTTCCAGGCTCAAAGATCCATGTCTTGCCTGGTGTCACACAGGAAGGTGCCCATCTTCAGCTTCCTTGCTCTTAAAATAATTGCTGGTCTTCCCTCCAGCGCTGGGCATGCTTCAATACCTTGGGTTTTTGCTGCAAAGGTATTTGGGCTTTGCCTAGAAAGAAGTGCAGAATAGAGCTACGGTTGCTGGAGACTGTTTTTGATTCTAGATTTTTTTTTTTTTTTGATTTCTGCATTTTGATCTTATATTTTATTTGGATGGACCCATTTTACCACATTATTCTTTATCACAGAGGAAATTTCTCTCTGCAGCATCTATCCAGAAAAGGGTAGTATCAGCCCAATGCCAGTGAGGATACATAGGCTGAAGATAGGAATAGGATAGTGAACTCCAAAATTTAGCTAATAATTAATTCATTCAGTTTTAATTTAACTAACAACTAATTTAATTTTAGTTTTTCGGTTTAACTAATAATTTTAGTGGACTATAGTCCACGTAGGTTGATGTCCTCCTCTTCCCCTCCAGCTGCTTTCCTATGACAAACTGTGTTCCTACTAATCACATGTGACTTTCAGAATTTTCTCTAAACAAAAACTGAGGCTCTAAATCCCATGAAAATACCTATTCTTTTAATTGTTACCCCATGACAGCAAATTTGGAGATTTGTCAGCTCACCAGTCCTCAATTAGGCTAACACATATTTTATTAATATTGTATTTTGCTAGATTTTAAAGTATGTATCTTGCAGTACTAAGTTAAGTGCTTTACAGAAAACTTACCCAGTCATTCCCTAATCATTTCTTGACACAATTTGATGTCAAGACTAATTTCCATCAATACTGACAAGAATGTGTTATAGTCCTAACTCAAGGTTATGTCAGTCAATTCCTGTATCAGAATTTCCACCCACTTTCCTGAGGTCCAGGCTAACCAGCCTACATTTATGCACTTATCTATGTTTTTTCTTTTTTCTTTTCTTTTCTGTGTTCCTTCTAATTCCTCCATAAATTTATGAGAGTGAAGTGCAGGCGGCTTATCAGGTCAGTGCTCTAAAAGCAGATCAATGCTTTTGCACTCCAGCACATAGAAAGAGGGGTTGTGGCTTGTGTGACAGCTGATAATCTGGTCCAAAACATTAAGAAACCAAGGAAAGTGTAGCTAACAGAAAAGAGTCTGCCATAAACTCTACAGCAAGGCTTAAACTGACAAACCTGTGAGAAACTACACAGAAATCTGCTGTTAAGAGAATTAATGGCTTATAAAATAGTGCACGGATTTTAATGTAGCTAAATGTAAGGTGCAAAAAAACCCACTAGGATTCTTAGGAGAAACAACCTGAATTCTTTGTGCAACCTGGGAAGCCCCGAGCTTCCCAATGGGAAGAAGCCTTTAGATTTAAGAGTGCATAATTTTATGAAAATGATGAGCTAATTTAGAAGATGTAGGACTCATCCTACTTCCTGCCAGGTATTTGCATCTTCACCTGAGCTGGTCACCTGGGTTCCTTCTGGAGTGAGTGGATGCAGTGTAACTCTAAATAACAACTCCAAATTCTGCAGGCAAGAGGCAGCAGCTCAGGGGAGCCCTCTTCGCTCTCTACAACTGCCTGAACGGAGCTTGTAGACGCGGGAGCCGCTCTCCTCTCCAAAAGAACTACCAATAGGACAAAAGCAAATGGCCTCAATTGTGCCAGGGGAGGCTTAGGTTGAACATTAGGAAAAAAATCTCCATGGAAAGAGCACTGAAGCATTGGGAGAGGCGGCCCAGGGAGGTGTTGGAGTCACCGCGCCTGGCAGGGACCAACGTGTAGCTGAGGCACTTAGGGACAGGCCTTAACAGGATGGTGGTGATGGATTTACAGTGAGACTCGACCATCTGGCAGGTCTTTCCAGCCATCCTGGCTCTATCAGTCTATGAGCGAGGGCCGCCCCGCTCTGGGCTCTGCCGAGCCTGAAAAAGAGACTTGCAACAAAGTGCCCTGGGGACATTTGCCAAAGGAGAAAGCAAAAAGGAAGCAAGCGCACACGGTTTGCGCCAGTATAAAAATTATGGCACTGGATGAACACAGCAGGGGACACGCTCGGAACACGGGGGCGCGAAGACTTCCTCATGGCACCGAGACGGGGGAGGCGCTGAGGCCCGACATGGCCGCCGCGCTGACCCAACCGGCCGCCGT